AATAACCTTGAGAACTTTTTTTTTGTCCTAGGCGAATCCACTTTTGTCTCTCAAAACCGAAAACCTCCAATTGCGTCTGTTTCCAGCCGATCCTAATGGAAGCGCGATCACCTTCCATACCCATAACTCGATTATTTATTAAAAATAACAAATATGATTTTATACATGTTGATTTTATTTTATACATCTTTTAATTGTTGAAATTGTTCGGTTAAGATTACTGGTTATTTCTATTGAAATAAACATTAGTAGACAGATCTTTATTGATAAGAAATTGGTAGGCAACCCATAAATCTGTGTAATTAGAAGTTCTCGATGAATTGCGCCCTAACTGCTCCAGCCTGATAGTTCCCATTTACCTCCAAGATAGATGAAACCTAGCAGTGTGCATACCAGTAATTATTAGTAGAGGGCGATGACGTCTGTAGGCTCGCAACTCCATCTCCGATTCCATCTTTCATTTGCATTTCATGGGGGTGTGAAGGCTTGTGGGTGTCGTTTTCTCGCTTTTGTTTGCTCGTTGTTTTTCTTGTGATGTTGCCGTCGCGTTGATTGTTGTGTTGTTCGATTGTTTTGAGTCGTGTGGAGTTTCTCGTATTTTTCTTCAACTCATAGCGGGGACGTTTTCAGGTGAACTACCTATCACATTTCATCCTATGTAATCGTCTGGTGGACGTTCTGGAACGAAATAACCATGGAAGGATAGTGGTGGTCGGCAGTGTGCTGCACAGCTGGTACGTTGTGACTGATTCTGCGCTTTCTTCTCAGCTTCAGTAGCGCTGCTGGGCGACGAGCTGTGTCGTCACTTACTCGATCTAATCTTGGAGCATTCCCTTGAGACCTTGCGCCGACCGAGTTTGTCGAGTGTTTATAGGCTTTCCCGGTTATCGACCTCAACTCAGTAGGAAGTGTTTTTTGTCGTCGACGCTAGCGGAGCTCACCTGCGAAGCCTATAAATATCACCAAACCCGGAAGTTCAGCAGGAGCAGCTTTTGGAGGAAGTCCTCCAAAATGAAAGGAAGATAGGTGAAGCTCAGTTCAGGAACTACAGTAGAGTTTAGTCAGTAAGTAGAGTGTATGTAACTCCTTACAGTGACTTATGAGACCAAACAATATTTTGTTTATTGATAAATTGTTCCTGAGGAAGAAGATACCCTACGCGACGGCTCACTGAGATTGAGCGGGATCCGTCTCATTACCAGTGATAACGGCGCCTTATGCCATTGCAAAAGTTACGCTGCTTCAGGATAATCGAGTTGCATTGGACTCTCGAATGGCTGACAGGCGCTGGCGCAAGATAGGGGGTGCATTGTGGTGGCAGTGCACTTAGAACCGCGTGAAAAGCCCTTTTGAATCAAAACTCTTAACTCACTTCCATCTCCTTCTGTCAAGAACGGGACCAAGGTTCACCAAGGCCAAGACCGGAACAGGAGACCCTAGAGGGCATGAGCGATTTCCGTTTTTTCTGGAGGTAGTGCCCCCTCTAAGGCCTAGTATTGGAGGATGTCCGCGTATCCTGCGATAGCGCCGGCTGACATCCCATCATACTCAATTGTTACTTTCTCTTTTCTTAACTTCACTTTCTTCATTTCAAGAATTTATGGGGCCAACTTTTCAGGACAGCGCTGGACTGGTCAGACGTGATGGCAAAGAGGGACTACGAGAAATACTTGGTGTATTCACGATCGAAACTCTGTCTACATCTGATGGCGTTCGCTCTTCACCGACGAATGAACATCGCTCGACGGAATGTGGCCGTAAATGTCGTCGAATTGGGCAAGGAACGTGAGCCGAACAACAATGGCAAAATGTCAGTTTTAATGGCGAACGCCCAAATTACGATCGATCTCGGCCCCAGCAGAAGTCCAACTTGACGAGACTCAATTCTAAATCGCATTCCAGGGCTCCTAAAGGGGAATCCGGTTTGCGAAGCGGTGGCTTCAACGTCAGTATAGCATGCTGAAATTGTAGGCTGGTAAAATAATGATTGGC